AAGAAATGAGGCTATATAATTTCTGCTTCTGTGTAAAAAAAAAAAAAAATCTTACTACATTTTTTATTTAATTTAAAAAGAAAATACAAAAACTTAACTTTTACTTAGAAATCGATTTTATTTGCTTGAAAACAGTATAGTAATTAAATATAAATAAAATACTTATTTTAAAAAATATTTATTTAAAAGATGGGCGGGGAGCTTAGCACCCTCCAGAAAGTACGTCCCTGGTATTATTGTTTCAGTGTTTTTTTTTTTTAGTTTAAAACTGTTAATAATACTTAAACCTATGTGGGGTGGCTAGCCCCCTCCAAAAAGTACGACTCTGCTATTGTTGCAGTGGGGTTTTATCTGGACCCCACGATTTTTAGTTATTTAGAGGAGGGAGGCTTAGCCCCAAATTCCAACTCCAGAATAGCCCTAAAATCAATGTTCAGTCTACTTTTTATTTCATAGTTACCGAAATTTCCCGCCAAGTCAAAATTACTGAATCTTCTTAAAAATTCATATTGTCATATTGTATTTAAAAATAAAGTTTTATTGTTAGTTAAGATTAAGAGGAGGAATAACCAAATGATTTTTAGGTCTTTTTTTTTTTTTTTTTTAATTGAATTATTTTTTAATCCATTTTTTTATTAAACTCGCGTCATTGGAAAATTTATTTTAAATTATCAGTTTTTTCTTACTTTTGTAAAACAGGATCACCACTGACAGAAAATCTGCTCTGAATCGTAAAATAAAAAAATAAAGATTTTATTTAATTATAGAAGCTTTTTTAGTTGCTTTTAAAACATTATGGACACTAAATGTTTTCTTTTTAAGGAAAGAAAAAATATTCATGATGAAAAAAAAACATTTTCAATCTTTACAAATTTAGAATAATTTACGAATTTCTAAATCTTAAAATTCTGTATTTAATTTATAGTGGTTAAGTGATTTTGTTATTAAGTTAAACTATAATTCACAAAATAAATTTGTGTGTATGATCGGATGTTGTATGCGTTTTCCACAGTTTTCATCTGATTTCGATGAAATTTTTTTGTTTGATAGATAATTCTTCAGTACCGGTTTTGAGTCCAAATTGGCTGGAAAAAAATACAACCTTGAAGGTGAAAAATCGAAAAAAACTGATTTTTTTTTTTTGCGCAAAAATCAAAGGCAAAATTTAAATGTCTGTAAAAAAAAAAAAAAAAAAAAACAGCGTACAATGGAGAGTTGAAATCCAACGCAAGATTATTAGAATTATATAAAAAAAATTATAAATAAAAATTATATTATATGACGGTTCATGGAAGAGGTTCCTTCCTTGCAAGATTGAGAACGCAAAAACGGCCCTTTTCAGGCACCCCCCATTCAAATTGTTACCCATACTCCATTTGAGGATGTGCCTCAATTGCACCCAATTGTTGTTACTGTTGATTTTCAGGTGTGTTAAACTGCTTCAATTGAACGGCAAAAAGTCCCAATAATGAAACACCTGGTCGAAGATGGGTTATACTGCTCAGCTTATATTTTTTTTTTTACTAAATAATCATGAATGGAAAAGTCTGCGACACCCAGTATTTTAAAAAAAATTTTGTATTTTTATGTTTGTTTCAACTTACCGATTTTTGTAAATACGGACGTCCATACACGACGTTGTTATCACAAAATAAGAGCTCTTTTAGTCTTACTAAATTTAAAGCCAAAAAAATAAAATAAAATAAACGTACCTAAAAAATTCGTTAAGAATTCAATTACATTACTTACAATATTTTCCTAAATCTTTAAGATTACCGAGTAGCCAAAAGATATATGCTGCTAACAAACCGAACGTTATATTCAAGTAATCTTTACAAATGTATCTCCCGTAAAAAAAATTCCAAACATAAGTTTATCGAACTAGTTGTCAACTCAGTCAACACCTCATAAAAAAATATCTCCGTGTTAAAAAAATGTTTTTTTACGATATATTTTTAAACTTAAGTAATATTTGTTTCAAATCAGATTAAAAACTTTAAGAAGTTTATCTTCCTTAAATAAAGTTTCAGAAAAAGTATATTTTATTTTTGAAAGATTTTTTTAATAAAGATAATTACGTTGTGCACAGAAATAAGTTATGGGTAAAAAAAAAAAAAAATCAACTCTATTTTTACTTTATTAGTGATTTCAACAACAACAAAAAAAATTAATTCCAAGCGATTAATTCGTTTTGAAATGCAGCAACGTATTTTGCTTATTAGAAATTAAATCTATTATCTTGGATTTTAAACTAAAATAAAATCTTCAAGAAAGATTTTTTTTTTCATTTTAAAACCTTAGTTATCGCTTTTCTTTCGAGATACCTAGGGGTGAACCGTGAAGTGAAGTATTTCGCCACAGCATAAAAACTGTTGATCAGTGAAGATGAACCGGCATTTGTAAGGTTTTTATTCGACAAAGAACACGGTAATGGGTATAATAAACTTTCAAACACACACAAAAATACACAGTGACTTAAACCCGAAACATCCGGAGAATTTTTCATCATATCTCCTAGTCAAGAAAACCTTAAAAGTACAGTTTTTGTCAGCTACGTGGCTTGCAATCCCGCACTGAATAATCAGATGTGCCATTTTACAGTATGGAAGAGTGCCTAACAGGTGAGAGTTTGAAGGCAACAAGTCTGGATAATAGGCTGTAGATATGAAAATATAATAACGAGTCCTATGCCACCCACTTATCTTTTTTGTGTATTGTTCGGTTTCACAGTTTTTTTTTGTTATTTCTTTCGCGTGCGTGTCAACTCTGCTATAAACGTAAAAAAGTTGTTTTCTTTGATCCTGGTCAACTTTCGACTCTCTAAAAGTGAATGAGTGGAGGCGGCTTATGATTAGTTCTTGCTCATAAAATAAGTTTTATTCACGTGCTAAAGATGAATCAAGTAATTATTTTAATCGTGATTGATTCCTTTTCCTAAGGGAATTAGCGATAAACTTTTACATTGCATATTTATTTGTGACCTCTCCCTTAATGTTTTCGACTCCTACATTGTGGCGTCATTGGTGTATAACCCGGCCCTCTGTGGAAGCACTTCTTGTCTCAGTTTCATGATCATTCGCTTCAGCATGTTTGTAACACAGGGATAAGCATTTATTATTACGAAGCAAAACCAGCGGTCATTTTCATCGCCACCAATATTTTTTTCCAGTGCGTCATTCAGATGAGTCAATCAATTGATCAATGTGAATTTAGTGTGTCCAACTTCCAACCATATCTTTTGAACTCGACTTAACACAAATATTCTTCCATTTTTTGTTGTTGTTGAGATTTCTGCTGGCATCTGTCGTTTTCTCTGTTTTGGGTTCTCGTAGTAAATCCATTTCCGTCCTTCTATTTATCAATGAATGACGTTTTGTATTTCTCGCACTAAGAAAAAGTCGAATATTAAAATGCTGATTCAAATTCTTTTATGTAAAATTTAAAAACGAGAGACCCATTTTCCGAGGTTCTGAATTTTTCGTAATGCTTCTAAACGGACGTATCACTGAGTTTGTTAACTGTTTCACGATCACTAATCCAGGTCGTTGGAGTACCACCATGGATACTGAAGCCGTAGGTGTGTTGAGGGCAAAGTAACATTGACAGAACATCTCAGTTGCGATTGGTTTTGAATTCAGAATTGTCTTTCTTCAAGATTGGTTGCCTTAACGAACTTAGTCTGCTATATTATTTACGAATGCTTGAATTCAAAGTTTGTTTTCTTGACTGACTGCCACCCAAGGCAAAAGTCTACCCTATTATTTTTTTAAAAATAATTCTCCCTATTCATGGCATTAATACCACTAAAAGGCAAGGGGTTATGGCTTTTAGAGAATATGAGAGAAATATATTATCAAGGAGAGAAAAGAATGAACGAGTTCATTCCTTTTCCAAGGGCATAAAAGTTTAACTTGGCACATGGATTCCACTAGATATCTATTACGTTATCCACATTGACAGAATGCATAGACAAACAGTGATCTTCAAAGACATTTCTAAGAATTCTCTCACAAACGATGGCATTGCAAATTTTTGCATCAATCTAAGCGGAGATTAACAACAGCCATTGTAAACTTGATTGTAGCAATGTGAGTGTAACCTTAATTTTTTTTTTCAAATACCTGTAAATTACATTAGCCTTTAAAAAAAGTAAATAAAACTGTAATTACAATTTACTTTCTAAAGACCCACTTTTAAAAAATTATAACTTAAGCAACGAAAGTGCAAACACGTCTATGATTTTCTGTTTATAGTCTTTCATGTACATGGCTTAACCTGGCGTCAACTCTTCTTTTTCAGGGTCAGTAATAGGAGACTAAATGATTTGGATTCTTAAGAGATACGTTTTTGCTTTCTTATACTTTCTTTTATTATTATTTTTTTTTTTTCTTCTGTACTCCCCGACACTAAATTATCTCTTTAAAAGCATTAATTTTAGACAGTAATAGTCAGAAGACCTCCTCTTTGGAATGAGTGAACGAACGTTGTATTATTTATTGATATCAAACTGTCATTAGTCTAACTGAAAACTGCTATTTATGTTTTCTGCTCAACTGGGCTGAACTAGGCTCAACTCAAGGTGAACTTGATCTCACCAGATGTAATCTTCTTGCTAAGATAGTGATTCACTCTCATCATGTCATTGGCAACGCTTAACTGTACTTTTTCTTTTATAAAGATGACCCACCCATTTCATTTGCCCGCCGAGCCTCCTTCTTTCCCGACAAAGCATAGGAAGAGACAAAAAAAAAAAAATATCCAAGACATATCTATTTTTTACTTCCACCTTTTCTCTTTGATTTTTTTTTTTGGGGGGTTGTTGTTGTCTAGCTTACTCGCAACTTCTTTTTCGTCACCACTCATTCTTCCGTTTACGTTTAGCAGAGTAATGGCGGGTATCATCCATCACAAATCAAAATGGCGGCCCACAATTACAACATGTCACAATCAGACTGTGAACATGACTGACTAGAATGCCACCATCACAGCTCTCGGCCGACATGTCATGGTCACCAGCCAGTGCCACCCGCCTGCCGCATTTAAAGGCGCTGTCACAAAACAGAGTAGCGCCAAATATATTCTTTTTGGCTGCTATTCCGTCATTGTTCTCTGACTCTTCTTACTCGCTCTTTTTATCTTGTTTCTTCTTGTCCTTACTCTCTTTTCCATTACATTGTCAAGTCCCTTCTGTCTTTCGACCCATTTTCCCTTCAACCAGACTTTATCGCAATCACACGTCTCCCTATCGTTCTCTGTCTGTCGCTGTCCGTTTTTATTTCTTTCATCTCTTGGTGTTTTCTCATTACTTTTGTGACTTCCATGTTATCTCGCTTGCTAATTTTTTCACCAGATTTTTTTTTCCTTTCTTTCTCTCTCTTTTTTTTTTTCCCACCCTTTTTAACTCCTTATTTTTTTGTCTTTTTGTATAATTTATTTTTTTTTACTTTTTTTCTTTTTCCTCTTATTTTCTATTTTCTTTTTTTTTTTGTTTTCCTTGATTATTTTACTGCTTGTTTTTTTTTTAATCTTTTAATTGTTTTACTTTTATTTATTTATTTATTTTGTTTTCCTTCTTTACCTTGATTTTAATTTCTTTCTTTTCTTTTATTTCTTTTCGTCTTTCTATTGTCTTTTCATGTTTCTATTTTTAAATTCAAAAATCTCATATTTGATAAAAGTTTCAAGTTGGGGACTTTCAATGAGAGAAGAAAAAGATTGTGAATCAACATCTTTTTTTTTTCTTTCATTGACTATATCCCCACTTTTGAAACCTTCTTAAAATATTTTTAACCTTTTTTAAAAAAATTGATATCCCCCACCCTTTCTGTCCTGTTTCATTTCCATTTTATCCTTTTCTCTTCTAATCTTCCTCATTTTGTCATTTTTTTTTTTTATCTTCCTTCTTTCTTTCATTTACTTTTCATAAGACACTTTTTTTTTTATTTAGCCGTCTTTCTGTAATAGTAAGCTTTGATTAATTTTATCTCCTATTCTTAAGGACATTTTTTTTCATTCTTCCTCTCTCCTTTTATCCATCATATGTTCTCTTCCCACTCCTTTTCTTTATATCACACTTTCCTTATTGTACAACAGAGTTTGCTTTCTTTCCGCCTCCTCCTCCTCTTCTGCTTTGTTGACATTTGTCACAATTTTTCTTTCCTTCCTTCAGGCAGTCGCCTTTACTTTAACCCCCCCTTCGATTTCCCCAGAGCACTTTTTTTTTCTTTTTTTTTTTTTTTTTTTTTTTTTTGCAAACAGGGATTTGTGTGTAACATTGAAAAAGTTAGGAAAATACAATTTCTTAGATTTCTTGTTAGGAAACCATAACTAAATGTGAGAAGAAGAAATAGTGGACAATGGAACAGTTTAAGAAACAAGACAGAATTTACTTAGGGTTACAAAGGACGGGAAATTGTGGAGAGCCATGATCGCCTTTTTTTCTTTACATGCTGTACTACCTTAGGAGGTACAGAATGTAAAGAAAAAAGAAAGAAATGGTAATATTAGCTGCTTCTTTATAAGGAAACAATCTGCATTTATTGAATGAACAGCCAGTTCCACTGGAAGTTGAAATTATTTAAATCTCTCTCTTCAAACAATTATCCAGGAAAATAGAATTCTTAAGTCCAGTAACTGTTAATACCTTTTCTGGTATTGATGGGGGTTTCCTTCCTAACCTTTTATTTGATTTAACCTTTTGATTATGTCATTATTTTCTCTATGAGTTACATGTGCTATCCATTTTAGTTGTTGCTACTGTTGAAAGACCTCAGGTGATGTGGATGGCCATCAAAGATAAAAATGCATCTAAATTAGCATCGCTGATCTTTCCTGCTGTAAATTTGCTTGCACATATAATATATAACATAATTTATATATATATGTTATAATTAATTGTGTATTTAGGCAGCAATCCCTCATTTATACATGTTTCATTAAAGATGGCAGACAACATATTGCAATTAAGCTTTTTATTTAATTTTTTTTGTGTTTGAACAAGTGTTTTCTTTTTTTTGGGACACGGTGTGTGTAGAAACTGTCCAAATGTTCTCTAATTCCAGGCTTTCAGCCATTATCAAGGATGATTTTATTTTTACTTCTTAATTGGATGTATGGGTTGTATGTATGCATCTAGAATTATAGGGATGTTTTATTTTCCGAACACAGCACATATTTGTAGTTAATGTATTGAATGTTAGCTTTTTCTTTTTTATTATTCAGGCTTCCATTTTTTAAAATCTTTTTTTTTACATGTCGATGAGGTTATTATGCTTGTATTTTATACTAGTATGTTTCAGATGAAGTCTGGTAAGTTGACTGTGTGTTCACTATCATTGTTATTTACTTTGGGAAGAAATAGTTTAATTTGGTGGTCTATAATGTGGTTAGGAAATCTGTATTCTTAACTAGTATCTGTTTTGCATTGTTGAGTTCTTTAAGGCAAAGTAGACAAGAGGATGAATTCTTGTGCTCTCGTTAGGAATTTTTTATCACTACTGTTTTGTATCTGAGTAGGCATTCACTCTTAAATAAAAGTGGTAATAGGTTTTGTTAGCGTTTTTTTTCTTTTTTTTTTTTTTACAATGAGGTGGCAAAAGTACGTTACTGTATTCTGCAAGAATGTTGAAAAATGGGAACTAAGTTCATAGCTAAAATTAAGGACAGTTTTTGTTTTGTTTTTTTTTGTTTTTGTTTTGTTTTTTTTTTAAATGTGATTTTGAGAGTATCTATTTGTTTTGTGTTTTCCACTAAAATAAAAATATCGTTCTGCATACCAGACATATATTTTAAGTTTACAGACCTATTTAATTATCATGTTTTCTTCATAGGACTTGTAGTAATTGGAAAAGCATGAGCCAAGCGGATTTCCCAAACTAACACCATTAGTTTGGGTGTAAATATTGCCATTATGGTTGTTCATGCACATAATCATTTTTGGGGGATATTTGCTTTGTAGGTGTGATAGTTATTTGTGTACACATAGTTAAGGATTATGTCAATAGTTTGATCAACAGGGACATTTGTGAATAAATTTTCAACATCAAGTAACACAAAGATACCTTAGGTTGGTTTTTTACTTTTTAGAACTTATGAATTCATGGGTGGATGTGATGATGTCATTGGTGGGTAGGTATGGGGTAATGATGTGATTAAGGAATTTTGATAGATTGTTGGTAGGGCTCAGGAAGAAAACATTTGTTCAAACACAAGAAAAATTAAATAAAAGCTTAATCACAGTACCTTGTCAGTCATCTTTAATGTGTGTATATGGCTGGTCTGAGGAGTTACTTGAGAGTGCACAAACAGAGGATGGCAACTGACTATAAAGCTGTAGATATCCAGCAACTGAAATGTGATATTTGTGGTAGGATAGGTGGATCCAGAAGGGGTTTCATGTGACATTTTAAAATGCATGATAATGTACCACCTGCTGTTGGGCCTCTTAAGTGCCCTGTTTGTACCAGAGTATGTAGGTCCCTTGCTGGGCTAAAGAGCCACATTCTTTCAGCACATCAGTAGATATTCTCCTAAAAAGATATGTAGTAATGGCTGTACTCGAACATGAGTTGGCAACCACTATATATATATATATATATATATATATATATATATATAAAGAAAGAACAGTAAGATATATAATCCGGTGTTCTTATAGATATTTTTATTTTTACAAAATAGTGCTCATTGTAAATTTACAGAGCATTAATATTATAAATTAATTGATTTAAAATGGTTTTTTTTCACTACACAGTTAAAACTGTGTACCGAAAAAACATTTTAAATCAATGAATTTATAATATATATATGTGTGTATATGTATAATATTACTATTATTATTTTTATTACAATAAAAACATTGAAATCGCTACACAAAAGCTTTCATATTTCAGTACTTTGATTGTACTTCTTCAGGCGATGGTAAGTAACTGGTGATTAAATGATTTTTAAGGAAATTTAAAAACAAAGTGTTACCTTTTTTCTGAAAGTTATAGTGGGGGGAATATAAGGTCAGAATAAAAATAAACTTGTGGGTATGTCTTGATTAACTAATTAAACGGCAGCTCTACACTAAATAGAAAAGTAAGCTCAGAGGGTGGAGATGGGTGAGTTATTTTTTCATGTCATATTAAACCAGAACATAGGCAATCATTGATGATTATCTCGGTGACAAATATATCATGATACATTTGTTACTGACATAAAAAAAATCTCTTGGATTTAATTAAACAATATTCCTTAAATGTGCTGATTAGCAAGACATTTCTTTGCAAAATGAGGGATTTACTGGATTTATACACTCCAATTAATTCTTCAAATCAAGCTTTTACTAAATGCCTTGTCTCTTCAGGCTGTAACTAATGGCTAAACATAGATTTTTTTTCTTTTCTTTTTTTTTTTTTAATTATCTATGAATTGTTATGATGACTTCCTCAGAAGTGTAGGGGAGTGGTTTTCTGTTGTTTTTTCCTGTTTAGAATTTGGCATCACCCCTCTCTTAGACTTAATTTCCACCCAAGGCTAGAAAGCCCAGTCTGTGTGACTATTTAACCTTCAATTGGAATATTAAGAAATGATTCGTCCATTTCTTAAGAACATTTGTGTAACAGTGTATGCAAGAGACTAAAGCATGTATTTAAACTCTGCTCACTGATTTCATTTCTGTACCAGTAAACATTTCACTACCCACAGACCCTTTCTCTATCACTCACTCAAACACAAAAAGCTTGAAAATAAATTGCTATTCAAATTTTTGAGTATGCATTTCTTAAAGACAACATTATTTTTCATGTTTATTCAAAGACCCTAAACACCTTGACTTTATAGGTGATATAGTTTGATCTCTCCCTTCTTAGTAATATGATATGTTGTTGTTATGGTGACAGGAGGCATTACTTAATGCAAATAAGCAGCATGCTTCAAGTTATAACAACAACAGAATATCTTGGAATTAAGTAGGGGAGACCAGCCTGTTCATTCATTACTTTTTATTTCTTTTTTTTTTTTTTTTTTATTTTATTTGTATATTAGTAAAATTGCAGGTGGTGTAATGAATAGTAGGTCAGAATGATTCAACACAGATCATCTTAGAACTAAGTAGGGGAGACCAGTCTGCTCATTCATTACTTTTCATTTAAAAAAATTTTTTTTATTGTTTATTTGTATATTAGTGGAATTGCAGGTGGTGTAATGGATAGTAGGTCAGAATGAGAAATTGGAGAGCCAAGTTAGACTTAATTACATTCCCTTGGGAAAGGTATGAATCCATCTCCATCAGCTATGAGTTAAATAGTAAGATTTGTATGGGAAAAAAATCATTATTATTCTCAATAAAAAAAAAAAAAAAACAACTGTTAATGCAATATTCACTGTCAAACAAAAAAAATGAATTACTCCTACAATCCAAAATATGTTCCAACTTTAAAATGGTTGATAATCTACAAAAAAAAAAAAAAAATGTTAAATAGCAAAATTCGTTTTAACATGTGACAGTAGAGTTAAGCCTTATCACTCTGTATATGCACAAAAGGTTTATCCAGCCACTGAAGGTGACTCTGATCCCTGAACAATAGTGTATTTGAATTTCATAGTTGTGTTGTCATATCCTGTTATGGCAACAGAAAACAACTTTGATTGGAATTAACAATAAGGTTATTGGAATTGAGAGGCCTTGAAAAATAATGCAGTGGAAAGGGAAGTAATATTAATAATGCAGAGTGATAAAGGTTAATTATACAAATAAAAATCTTTGATTACTAGTGCAGAAAATATAACTAATACAGTTACAAAATGACTTCAATATTGTAATTTCTTCACTGTACTGGTAAAATAGTTATAATGAGGTGCTGAAATGTTCTCAGCCTGAACAAGAAATGGATTCCAAAGTAAATTTGATGTTTGTTCAAGAACTCTTCAGAAAACCCTATATATATATATATATATATATAAAAGTTGAACTTAATACTATATAGATCGCAGTCTGCCACATATGCGCATATGTGGCCTGATGATTGCATATAGCATGAAACAGACTGTCGCCCTAAGTGTTGACTTCATGTTCACTTTTATATTTAAGCACGCTCTATCTCTGATATTGAGCACTTTATCCCATAAATATAGCACACCTTAAGACTATATTTCTTTATATATATATATATATAAATAAAAAGTGAA